CATTAATAGAACACAGCTAGAGCAAATGAAAACTTTATCAAATGTTCAAAACTGTAATGCCTCCTTTAAACCTCCCAAATCCTCTCTCAATGTAGTGGATCAAATAAATATAACAAAATATTGAACATACTACTAACCACTATACACTGTAAATTCATCCATTACTAAAAATATAGTCTCTGTTAACTTCAAAATTCAGATATACTTGCTGAACATTAATTATAATGGTCACTAGAAATGAAGTTTCAAATGATTTTCCACAAATCTGTCCCAGCATACTTTAATCTAAACATATACAAAGGCAATCCAAGAAGTCTGCGAAATATATATTCTACCTGCTGACTGGTCAAATTCTTTATTCTGCATGAAAAAAGGATGTCTACAGTACCCATATTCCTAAAGGTCACAGTGACCTATATATATGTCCTGACCCACCATCTTCAACATCAAATGATTTCTAAATCAATTATCTTAAGAATTATATATAAGCATAGTCAGATCACTGCACAATATGAACAAATAAAACATTATTCAAAGGTTTAAGCATATTCTAAAGTGTGATAGGTCATTATGTAACCAATTCTATGAATGCAACAAAAAGCCTCATGTCGATCTGCAAATACATCAACAGTCAAAGATCAAAAAGACCTTGCTATAATGATCAATTCTGGCAAAATAAACAGGTCATTGTGACCTAAAAGGAGGTATTATTATGCAAGTCTATATTTGTACATACTAGTTATCCCTAAAATTCATCAAGAGATAGGGTCTTCATTGGAAATGAAATATACATGTAATCCAAAATGGTAAGCAGCAACGAGAGCCAATTCTAGAAAGAGGTAAGTCTTGTGACCTACTTTAGGGGTCTGTTATTCCTCCACTTTGATATGGTATGAATAAGGAGTATGAACCCATGTCAGAAAGACAACATAATTCATGCTAACTAAAAATTTTCAAGAACACATAAACCCCATAAAAACAATTAAAGCACACACCGTTTTAGCATCCAAGAAAATCTCAGTGCATAAACATGTCATCTCACTGGCCTAGGTTTCTATAATCCTTAATAGTTTACATAGTTTCCACAGTGGAAGCTAGCAATTAAGAAATCTGAGGGAAACTACTATGTTCCATTTCATAAAAACCAGAATATACGTACAACATAAACCCATAGCAAATGACAACTACCTAACAGTCCTCAAAGAAATCATGCTTATATAATCATGGCTGCCGCTAATAGTTTTAAAGGTACATGTAGATACAATACTTCAACATTTACTCATAGAAATACTGTAATGTTAACCCTTAGCTTCCCCAAATACAAGACCCCAGGCTACTCTTCAATGCAGTGCAACAAATGCACACAAAAAATGCTCAACATAGTTACTTGACTTTTTAGTGACATGTACTGATGTATAAAGAGTTCCTTAATGTAGCAGGAGGCCAAACCCCATGCCCTCTCTAAAATGATGTTGTGCCCCACATCCTCTCAAAACCCCTCCCACCATCCTTGGAATCCCAATACTGGCTAGCACTGCGAGTCTCACAACTCCTCCCACCATCCCAATACTGGGTAGCACAGCAAGTCTCACAACCCCTCCCACCATCCCAATACTGGGTAGCACTGCAAGTCTCACAACCCCTCCCACCATCCCAATACTGGGTAGCACTGCAAGTCTCACAACCCTCCCACCATCCCAATACTGGGTAGCACTGCGAGTCTCACAACCCTTCCCACCATCCCAATACTTGGTTACACTGCAAGTCTCACAACCCTTCCCACCATCTCAATCTCAATACTGGGTAGCACAGCAAGTCTCACAACCCCTCCCACCATCCCAATACTGGGTAGCACTGCAAGTCTCACAACCCCTCCCACCATCTTAATCATCTCACAACCCCTCCCACCATCCAAATACTGGCTAGCACTGCAAGTCTCAAACCCCTCCCACCATCTTAATATTGGCTAGCACAGCAAGTCTCACAACCCCTCCCACCATCCCAATACTGGCTAGCACTGCAAGTCTCACAACCCCTCCCACCATCCCAATACTGGCTAGCACTGCAAGTCTCACAACCCCTCCCACTATCTCAATACTGGCTAGCACTGCAAGTCTCACAACCCCTCCCACCATCCCAATACTGGCTAGCACTGTGAGTCTCACAACCCCTCCCACCATCCTAATACTGGCTAGCACTGCAAGTCTCACAAACCCTCCCACCATCCCAATACTGGCTAGCACTGCAAGTCTCAAACCCCTCCCACCATCCCAATACTGGCTAGCACTGCAAGTCTCAAACCCCTCCCACCATCCCAATACTGGCTAGCACTGCAAGTCTCACAACCCCTCCCACCATCCCAATACTGGCTAGCACTGCAAGTCTCAAACCCCTCCCACCATCCCAATACTAGCTAGCACTGCAAGTCTCACAACCCCTCCTACCATCCCAATACTGGCTACCACTGTGTTACCTACGATGAGATAAATAAACACAATATCCCATGGATTCTACTAAAGATAAGTTCCAATATCCAAGTCTTACAGTGGAAATATATTATCCAAAATGGGAAATGGCTGTGAACCAATTCTAGAAAAAGGTAAGTCCTTAATTAATTGTGACCTACTTTAGGGGTATATTGTATCCTCAGTTGTGATGTTATGAATAAGAGTATGAACCCATGTCAGAAATTCAACATATTCATGCTAACTAAAAATTTTCAAGAACACATAAACCCCATAAAAACAATTAAAGCACACACCGTTTTAGCATCCAAGAAAATCTCAGTGCATAAACATGTCATCTCACTGACTCAGGCTTCAAACCTTAATAGTTTACACAGTTTCCACAGTGAAAACTGGCAATTAAGAAATATGAGGATACTAGTACATATATGTTCTATTTAACGGTAATAACCTAGCACAAACACCAAGCAAAAGAAATCTTTACTTAACTGTTCTACAAGAAGTGCATGATGCCAAATCAGGGCATATAGATTCATGGCAGATTTGAAATATAGTATGCTTGCATTTAAAAGACTTGTTGACACTAATTTGAACTGTGAGAACATAAGAGATGTTCAAATGTTTCGGTTTATAACCAAAACCAGCCATACTCTTATCATGAATACGTTATACAGCATAGTATCTGTACCAGCACCAGAGGTGCATACATAGAGTTTGATAAGCTTAATTCCATATTATACTACTCTAATGTAAACACTTTGCCTTTCCTCAAACAGGAATAGATTTGTGCATATAAAGATCAATATCCCATCACCCAATTATTTATATTCAAAAACTTAGCTTCCCAAAGCAATGGGACTAATAGGGAAATCAAACACTCAACAGTTACTTAAATGGCCATTTTATCTGTACTCCCTACTTCAAGAGGGCCTCATAAACATTCTGCTTATTTAACTTGCTGGTTTAGTGAGTATAATTAAGCCATCCAAAAATTGGATAGAATTGCTGAGAATTCAGGAGCTAACTACTGTAACAATACATCCAGGACACCCATACTTTGAAATATAACTTCTGTAAACCTGGTCCTCGCTGAATGAAATCAGTTCATACAATGGATGTCACAGGTGTGAAAATTATAAATGCTTAAATTTATGTACATTTTTGGAAGTCATTATGACTTATAATTAATAATGCTATGACACACTTTGACCTCAACATTAAGTGACAAGGTCATTTACAGTAAGACTGACAGGTTAATATACTAGATGGCATCAAACAGCAATAGGGGCTAAACTTTTAAATGGATGCAAGTCATTGTGACTTAAGGGTAAATCATGACAGCCCATTTTTACTTCCATATGAATTGGGAGCATGAGCCCAGGTCAGAAAGGCAAAAAATTCATGCTAACTAAAAATTTTCAAGGACACAAACTCAAAACCACTAAATGATATGCACACACCGTTTTAGCATCCAAGAAAATTTCAGCGCACAAACTTTGTTACCTCACTGGCTCAGGTTTTGCACACACTGTGGAAATTTAAGAAATATGATGTATATGCTCTGTGTAATTAAGACAAGAATACATCACAAAGCCAGAGCAAATGAAAACTTGATGATGTCCTCTGAGGTAGTGATGCTGATTCAGGGCATATTACACCATTATGAGTGAACGAAAATGGTACCAAGATGAGGTGCATCACTATCAGAATACCCAAATAGTACTGTACTGATACCATTAGTGCTTAGAGTTTAATTTATATGCCTTCATGTTGAAATAATATTAAAGGATGCATCACAGGACCTAGTTAAACTCAGTATAAATGGGAAACCACAGCCCATATTCTTCTCACAGCCATATAACATAAAAATTGGCAAAGGCAAAAAAAACGGAGATTCTGTACTCCGTGGCATGCCAGTAATGGGCCAAAGGGGATAGCATCATATTTCATATGGTTCATTTTTTTCTGCTTAACTCTTAATGCTCTTGAGTTATGTGAAAGTTATTAACACAAGATAATGAATAGAACCCCTATTCAAAATAAATCTATTAATCCATAAAGTGCTAACTTAAGGGTTCAGACACTATATCCTTAATTAAGTGTCTCTTTATGTGATTGAATGTGAAATGAAAAAGAACTGAAAATCCTGACCCTTTCTAAAATATCCATGATGAAATTCCAATACAACACTCAAATATTTGACTGAAGGTCAAGGTAACACAGACTTAACCTTTGACACACATTATCTCTACAATGCATCAAATGAAAATACCTCATAATCTTAGGTCCTATTTAATCATGTACGTTATCCAGACAAGGATCAAGGATTGTGGAGGAATCTCAAAGGAGGAGTCAACGGGACTTCACTATAATAGGGATTAGGACTCCCCTCCGCTACCCTACCCCTACCCCCCTGGAAATGTGAAAATACATCAAAAGGTATCCTTTTAAAAAAAAAATTCTGTCTCATGTTCTAAACTAGTAATAGCTGCTATAGGGACACAGAGAGGTTAATAAATTAGGCCATGATATTTAACAATGAATATAAAAAATGTGAAACTGTAAGGGCTAGCATACCATTAAGAGGCTTACAAAAACCAAAATTTACAATGAACCTTATAAACTCATAAACACACTCAAACATAACACACAAACACGCATATATATGTATGTCTGAGATGTATAATGTCCAAACATCAATATTATTCACAAAGTCCATCTCCTGACTGCTGTTCTTTCTTCCAAGTCCTGTCAGTCTGGTATTCCTCTCTTCCTCCTGTATAAAACAACCAATCATATTCACTAAGGTTTTTTTTATCCCTCCAATTAGAAACAGTACAAACAGTGATTCAATTAAGAGAAATAACAGCAAAATATAAATATTATATCAAAAACTTTCTATCAATAAATTGCATCCTGAAATTATAATGGGATTGAAATAGTCATAAATTAAATTCCATGCCTGTTTTCAATAATTAGACTTAAAACTAATATATGTCATGCCACCTGAAAAGATGACTCTAGCTGTAACTTAATTTTTTTTAATTCATGGAGGATGCAAATTTGTGGACAAGGGGCAACCCAAACTTCACATATAATTTTTAGGAGCCACCATGAAATCTAGTGATACCAGAGTATGCTGTTTACAATACAACTCAACCAAAAACTGCAATACTTCTGGGAATTATTTTTTGTTAAATTGGTATATTTCCTACTTAGTAAATTTCAAACTGAATGCACTATTTATTTATAAGTTTAAAAGGGCATTTCTGTTTTCAAACTTTTGTGAAAATTTCTGTTTTTTGGCATTATCAGCACCAGTTGACTGTAATGGGGTAAACAATGATCAGCATGATTTTATAATTTTATTTTTATGAAGAAATGTAGCCATTTTGTGACATGAATGTGTTGTAAATTAAATCCTGTTCTTAAATCATTGAGGCATTTGTGTATTGACTGAAAATATTTCATGATTTACTGAGAAAGTTTTAATATGGACTCATGTTTATTAAGAAAGTTTGAACATAGAAATCAAGTGCATAACTGAGATAGTACATTAAATGTAAAATCAAAGTATTCAGAAGTACTGTAAGCCGAGCTCATTTACAGGGTAATGAACAAACACCGTGTTGACAGTTTAAAAACAAGTTCAGACATTTAGAGGATATCTTACACACAAAATATATGGCATACCCTGTAAAAAGTATTAAAAAGTTCATGATTCCCACGTAATAGGGATCAGCGTAAAATTTTATAAAGTCATGATGGTAATAAACAATATAAAATTATTAATCAGTAAATTAAAACAATTGGAAATTTGTATTTCCCAAAATTTTACATTTTTTGGCTTTATTAGCAGCCACCATTGGTAAATCAATGGATAAAGATAAAATTTATTATATAAGCTTTTTTTTTTTTTTTTACCCAAACTTCAATAATTTTGAAAATACTTCAGTAGGATTGCCTCAAAGTTGATTGCGCAAACATTTTCTTAACAATTGAGGCATTTGTGTTTGACTGAGGGGACCTACTGAGAAAGTTTGAATATGGACTCCAGTGATTTACTGAGAAAGTTTGACTATGGAGTAAAAACTGTATCTCACCTTCTGGTGTTCAGGTCAAGCCATTAATCTGGAATCTTCTTCTGTCCTACAGGTTCTTCTATGACTGGTGTAGAAGGCTAGTCCAACTCTCTGTCTGTTAACAAAGAACAAAGAAAGATGAATAACAAAAGAATGTTAACACTTTATCTGATGGCAAAGAAATATGAGATTTCAAACAGAACTAAAGAAAAAATTATGTGCTATATCTTACTTTTATGTTAGGCAAAAGTCTGTCACCTTCTTGGAATGCAAGTGGAAACATGAATGCTCTTGAATACTAGATCCAGGCTAGTCTAACTCCCTGTTATCAAAGAATATAAAAAGATTAACAGAACTAAAGTATTTAAAGTTATGGAATCTCTCAAAGTGAATTGATTAGAGCTTGTATCTTACCCTCACTTCTACAGTAGGCTGCAGGCAATGAGTATTCTCTATCAACAGGAAGAACTGCTTTTAAACATTTGATCAAGATGAGCCTTGTCCCTTATCTGTTAATTAAACACAGAATATGTACAGATCAGTTAATAAAGGTACAAAGAATTCAATAAGTCAGAAACAGGGATATCAATTTACACAATGCAAGTAGTGGATCTTATTTCTTACCATCTCCTGCAGGCCAAAGTCAGCCCTGGCTCCCAGTACTCCTTTAGCTGGTATATATCTCTTCCTAACATAGAGTGGGAGACTGCAATCAAGGTTTCTGTGAACATAGAAAGTTTAGAGTCAAATACATGTTCTAATCAGACAGAGAATAGAAAACATGAATTGTGATAGTGTAACAAGTGCAGCTTACCACTTTGACTAATAAATGGCTGCTGGTATAATGGACACCCTGTACTCTGGCAATGATCTCCTCTTTACTGTGTGGCTATCTGGTGTCTAGCTCTTGGTACTCTTACTGGCAGGTGATGTAATCTTCCAGACCTTTGACAGTGTAAGAGTCTGATTGTCCTTGTTTCTGTAAGACAGAGATTTTACATAAAAGAGACCCCTGTCATAATCATGTGTGAAAGAGCACAAACAATATGGATTTAACATATTTGCTTTTCATCTTACCCTTTCTTCCATGGCTGGCTGCAGTGGATCTCTCTTCCCTGGACTCCTCCTAAAGAGTGATAGATGTGTACTCTACCATGAGATTGAAGCTTGTCTGGCCATTATTCTGTAAATAATGACAATCAAGGGGTGTAATGTGTGTCCTTATTGGTTTGACTAAGAATAAAACAGAGCAATCAAAAATGAAATACATGCAGGTTGTTTCTTACCACTTTGGCCAATGTTGGCATGCTGGTTTAGTGGATACCCTGGATCTTTGCAATGGCCTCTTCTCTTCATCTGTATGGTCCTCTTCTTCTGTGTGTGGTCCTCTTCATCTGTATGGTCCTCTTCTTCTGTATGGTCCTCTTCTTCTTTGTGTGGTCCTCCTCTTCAGTGTTTGATCATATTGTTCATAATGTGGTCATCCTTAATTTGGCATCTGTCCAAACCTTCGGTCACCTGAAAAACTGTCAGAGAATAGTTTAAATTTAAGGTCTTAATACTTTAGTTGTAGGATACTGAGATTTTAGATCAAAGGAGGACCATTCTACATCAGTTAAAATCAGCACATAAAATGGCCCTAGTCATAATCATGAGTGAAAGAGCATAAGTCATAGATTCAGCAAATTTAATTTGTATCTTACCCTTTCTTCTATGGCTGGCTGCAGTGGATCTCAGTTCTCTGGACTCCTCCTTGTGGGTGATGGAAGTGTCATCAAAGCTTGTCTAACCATTTTTGTGTGGAATGGGTGTCCTCTTCCTGTGTGGCTATCTGGTGTCAGCTCTAATACTCTTGCAATAAAAAATGTAACATTTGCTTTTGACATTGTAAGGGTCTGATTGTCCTTGTTTCTGTAAGACACAGATTTTACATAAAATAGACCCCTGTCATAATAATGTGTGAAAGAGCACAAACAATATGGATTTTGCACAATCGATCTGTAGCTTACCCTTTCTTCCATGGCTAGCTGCAGTGGATCTCTCTTCCCTGGACTCCTCTTAAAATCTGATAGATATGTTCTCTGCCATGAGATTGAAGCTTGCCTAACCATTATTCTGTAAATAAAGAGAGTCAAGAGGTGTAATGTGTGTCCTTATTGGATTGACTAAGAATAAAACAGAGCAATCAAAAAATGTAATATATGCAGCTTGTTTCTTACCACATTGGCCAATGTTGGCCTGTTGGTTTAGTGGATACTCTGAATCCTTGCAATGGTTCTCTTCCTCCTTGTGTGGTCCTCTTCTTCTGTGTGTGGTCCTCTTCTTCCTTGTTGGCCTCCTTTTCAGTGTATGATCATATTGTTCATAAAGTGGTCATCCTTAATTTGGCATCTGTCCAAACCTGCTGTCACCTGAAAAAATTGTCAGAGAATAGTTTATTTAAGCTCTAGGACAAAGGAGGCTCATTCTACATCAGTTTAAAAGGGCACACAAAATGGACCTAATCATAATCATGTGTGAAAGAGCACAAGCAATGGATTCAGCACATTCAATTTGTATCTTACCCTTTCTTCTATGGCTGGCTGCAGTGGATCTCAGTTCTCTGGACTCCTCCTTGTGAGTGATGGAAGTGTCATCAAAGCTTGTCTAACCATTTTTCTGTAAATAAATAGAGTAAAGAGGTCTAATGGGTGTCCTAATTGGATTGATCAAGAATAAAACATAGCAATAAAAAAGTAACATTTGCAGCTTGTTCCTTACCACTTTGGTTAATGTTGGCCTGCTACTTTAGTGGATATCCAGGAAATTTCTCTTCTTTAATGGTTCCTCTTCCTTGAAATGGTCCTCAATTTTTCCTTTTTTCCTTTGGTCCTCTTCTATCTATTGTTAAAAATACTTCTGTGGAGTTACCTTTTCTGTTTTCTTTGTTGTTAAGTTATGTTACAAAATGGATAAAACTGTTTAACTTGTTACTGTAAATTTTTCTTCATAGCAATAAAAAAGTAACATTTTCTTGTAGTCCTCTTAATGTTGGCCTTCTTTCTCTCCTCTTTTTCTGTGGTCCTCTTCTTTCTTCTGTGGTCCTCTTCTTCTCTGTCTGATCCTCTTCATTATTATGTGGTCCTCCTCTTCTTTCTGTGTGTGGTCCTCCATATGCAGCTTGTTTCTTACTGCTTAGGTCAATGTTGTTTTGTCAACATAGTGGATACCTTGTATCCTGGTGATGGTCCCATCATAAATGTTTGGTTATGCACAATTTGGCATCTATCTATACCTGCTGTCATCTAAAAGTTTAGACACAGTTTATTTTAGCTCTTGGTACTTTCATTGGTTAAATACAGAGATTCAAGATCAAATGAAGCTCATTATTTTACAAAGAAAATATATCAGCTATTTGTACCTTACCCTTTGTTTAGTGATTGGCTTCAATTGATCCAAACTCCCTGGACTCTTCTTCACAAGTAGGGTTGTCATTCTTTGTATTAGGATTGAGGCTAACTATAATTCTGTTAACATACAGAGTCAAGAGTCAAACTAATACTAATACCAGTCTTGGATAAAGTGAAAAAAGAAAAATCTAAATTTAACAAATACAGTTTGTTTCTCACCATTTTGGCCAATGTTGGCCTGTTGTTATGGTGGATACCCTGTATCCTGGCAATGGTCTCCTCTTCCTTGAGTTGGTGGCTGCCATCTGTCCATCCCTCCTAGTGCCCTTGATAATGGTAGAAACTGACACAGGATTAGTACAGTTCCAAAACAATTTAAAAAGTACCTTTTTAAAATGCATCATTCTCATACAAAAACATGGCAAATACATATTTGGAAAGACACAAACAATAAAGTGCAAAAAGGTTTGTTATGTTAGTAATGTAAGTAAGAATGGGGAGGGGGACAAGAGGTAAGGGAATAAAAAACACATGGAAATGAACAAATACAGCTCACCTAATGTCTGGCTTATACGGTCAATATACAACCTTTTCTTGGACTCTCTGGGTACCACTGGCTCCATTCTGTCTAAATTACATTTGTAAAATATTTAAAAAACCAAATAAATCTAATTTCTAAAAAAAAAAAAGTTTCATTGTGCTTTAATATATGTTGAACCAACAAACTCATCTAGGTCAAAGTTTTGTTTTTATGAAGTTAAAGTTATAAAAAAAAAAACACTAAGATTTTTATCACTTATATCTGTTCAAATTCCTGTTAATGTATGGTGATTTTTTTTTATATATTTCTTAGAAAAATCTAATGATACTATCAAGTAAAATAATTTTAAACAGAGAATAATTGGAAAATTGTGTTTTGTCACTGGTTAACCAGGTGCTTGTTGACAACATTAGTTCTAAGACTTTGTCAAATGGCAAAGTAAAACAAACTTTCAGAGAGTCAAAAAATAATTAAAAAAAATAAGTGTTTGCATCTTACCTTCCCTTCTAGGTAAAAATACAGTCTGTCCTCCTTCTTGGTTCTTTGGTCCAAGCATATTGACATCTCTAAAGCCTGGTAAGAAGCCAAGCCTAACCTTCTTTCCTGTCAACACAAGGTATAGAGATGTTAACAAAACAAAAAGTTATAATTATCAGAATTCATCTAATGGAAGTTATGAAATTTCTCAAAGTGAGTGCATCTTACCCTACTCTAGAAGGAGGCTTGCAGTCAATCAATACTCATAACTCTTCTACAATATTAGGAGCCTGACTCTTGAACATACACTGTAGGATCTAGGATTGCCTGTGAACAATGTAGTAAGTAAATGTTTTTTGAATCAAGTGATGAAAAAGAGTGATGCAACTGAAATACTAAAAAAGTGCAGCTTTTGCAATACAGTTACCTGTAAAATAAATAAGCCTCAGTCAATTCCAGCTCTGTGATGGCTAGTGATGCACTCCACTTAATTCTAGTATGGGTATTGTCTCTGCATGGTTCTGCAAAATGCAAATTTAAGATCAAAAGAGGGTCATATACACAAGTAATATATTTTGTCCTAACTTTGGGATTTCAAATAAATGCAGTAGTCTTGTAACAGAAAAAACATTTTTTTTGTTAAAGTAAAAAATATTTGTCTTTTCTCATTTTTTGCTATGGAAACCTTGTCAAATTTGATTAAAACCTAAACATGTGTTGCTCAAATCTTTATAATAACTTGATCCTGTGTGACTTTTTTGGTTATATAGATTTGTGAATCAGAGATGTTTACTTCACAAATGTGACAAGTAAAAATAAAAGGTGCATACTATAAACACTTTTTTTTGTAGGTTCAAGCTTTCAAATTCTGTAATATGTTAAATTTAAAATGGGTCATTTTTTGAACACAATGCAATAGAACAAGAAGCTCTTAATGCAACTTATTATATTATTTAAAAAATTATTTTAAATTTGAAGTCATGGGGGCTTATATTTTCTTTAAGTATAAATTTTGAGTTAATATAGTAATGAATTCTGAAAGACTCTGAACATTTTTGCCGAAAGACTTTACTAATTATAATTATAGAAATTATTGGAGGAGTTGCGAATAAGAGATAGCTTCCTCAATATGTTATGAATAGACAAAAGGAAAGACATGATAACCCTCACTTTACAAGCTGTGGGTATAATAAGGAGACTGTGTTAGAGGGTAAGAGAGAATCTTACCAGGTCTTTCAAGGTAGGCCTCAGTTTATGGGGGAACTCTTCTTCACTGCAGTGTCAATAGGCAATCCAACCTCCCCTCCTGCTAAGGCAGATTAATAAATACTCATATTGCTGCAACTTTTTCTAATGATCACAATGTGCAATAAATTAAGGAAGAGATAAACAAGAAATCAATGTATGTTACACTTACATGGATGGTTGATGCAGTGGATCCTTCTGGTCTGCACTCTTTTTCTGTCTAACAGGCCAATGTAAAACTGGTGATGGAGGACAAAGCTATTTAATACTCTAAAAAAAATAAAGGTTAATCAATAAAAGAAAGGAAGATTTCAGTGAATTGTTTAAATGTTGAAAAAAGACCTTGGACAAGGAGTACACTAATATAAAAAGATAATATAAAAAAGAAAGCCCTGCACATAAAATAGACTAAAAATTGTTTTTTTAGAGGACAAAATCCCACACAAAATGTTGGAACAGGTTGTTTTTCAAACACAGAAACCCAGTCCAAGAATAGAAAATTTTTGTGTCTTACCCTCTCTTTCAGGTCAGGCCACTTTTATCCTTCCTCCTAGCACTCTTGAATTAAAGCATGACAGTCTGCTCTTCAGCATGGTTTATAGTCTTCCTCTTCCTGATCAAACAGAATTTGAAGAGATAAAATCAGATTTAGTTCTTGAATCTCTAAGAGTGTATGGAGTAAAGAATGTAACTTAACTCTTTTCAGCTCTCTGTACTCTTGCCAACATCTTAATCTTAGTCTCTGCTTCTATAGGATTGTGTACTGCTTGTCTCTCCTTTTTGTAGAATTGTGTGTTGCTTGTCACTGCTTCTGTAGAATTGTGTGTTGCTGATAAATGTTGCTTATGTCTTGCTTCTGTAGAATTGTGTGTGCTTGTCTCTGCTCTCTGTAGGACTGTGTTTGCTTGTCTCTGCTTCTGTAGGATTGGTTGATTTGTGTTTGCTTGTTCTCTGCTTCTGTAGGATTGTGTATAATTGCTTGTCTCTGCTTCTGTAGGATTGTGTGTTGCTGGTCTGTTTCTGTAGGATTGTGCACTGCTCATCTCTGCTTCTGTAGAAATAGGTGTTGCTTGTCTCTGCTTCTGTAGGATTGTGGTGTTGCTTGTCTCTGCTTCTGTAGGATTGTGCGTTGCTTGTCTCTGCTTCTGTAGGATTGTGTGTTGCTTGTCTCTGCTTCTGTAGGATTGTGTGTTGCTTGTCTCTGCTTCTGTAGGATTGTGTGTTGCTTGTCTCTTCTTCTGTAGGATTGTGTGTTGCTTGTCTCTGCTTCTGTAGGATTGTGTGTTGCTTGTCTCTGCTTCTGTAGGATTGTGTGTTGCTTGTCTCTGCTTCTGTAGGATTGTGTGTTGCTTGTCTCTGCTTCTGTAGGATTGTGTGTTGCTTGTCTCTGCTTCTGTAGGATTGTGTGTTGCTCATGTGTCTGCTTCTGTAGGATTGTGTGTTGCTTGTCTCTGCATCTTTAGGATTGCGTGTTGCTCATCTGCTTCTGTAGGATTGTGTGTTGGTGGTCTCTGCTTCTGTATAGGATTGTGTGTTGCTTGTCTCTGCTTCTGTAGGATTGTGTGTTGCTTGTCTCTGCTTCTGTAGGATTGTGTGTTGCTTGTCTCTGCTTCTGTAGGATTGTGTGTTGCTTGTCTCTGCTTCTGTAGGATTGTGTGTTGCTTGTCTCTGCTTCTGTAGGATTGTGTGTTGTTGTCTGCTTCTGTAGGTGTGTTGTCTTGTCTCTTGCTTCTGTCAGTAAGATTGTGTGTTGCTTGTCTCTGCTTCTATGAGATTGTGTGTTGCTTGTCTCTGCTTCTGTAGGATTGTGTGTTGCTTGTCTCTGCTTCTGTAGGATTGTGTGTTGCTTGTCTCTGCTTCTGTAGGATTGTGTGTTGCTTGTCTCTGCTTCTGTAGGATTGTGTGTTGCTTGTCTCTGCTTCTGTAGGATTGTGTGTTGCTTGTCTCTGCTTCTGTAGGATTGTGTGTTGCTTGTCTCTGCTTCTGTGAGATTGAGTGTTGTTTGTCTCTTCTTCTGTAGGATTGTGTGTTGCTTGTCTGTGCTTTTGTAGGATTGTGTGTTGCTTGTCTCTGCTTCTGTAGGACTGTGTTGCTTGTCTCTGCTTCTGTGGGATTGTGTGTTGCTTCTCTCTGCATCTCTAGGTCTGTGTGTTGCTCGTCCCTGCTTCTGTAGGATTGTGCACTGCTCATCTCTGCTTCTGTAGAAATAGGTGTTGCTTGTCTCTGCTTCTGTATAATTGTGTGTTGCTTGTGTCTGTTGCTTGTCTCTGTATCTGTAGAAATAGTGTTTTGCCTGTGTATTGCTTGTCTCTGCTTCTTTAGGATTGTGTGTTGCTTGTCTCTGCTTCTGTGGGATTGTGTGTCCCTGCTTGTCTGTAAAATGTGGATTGTGTGTTGCCTTGCTTCTGTAAGGATTGTGTGTTGTTGTTTCTCTGCTCTCTGATTAAATTGTGTGTTGTGCTTGTCCTGCTTCTGTAGATTGGGCTTACTGCTTGTCCCTACTTCTGTTAAATAAAGCTTGTCTTTGCTTCTGTAAATAAAGCTTGTCCTGCTTCTGTAGATTGTGTGTTGCTTGTTCCTGCTTCTGTAGAATTGATTGGTTAAGATGCTTGTCCCTGCTTCTGTAAGATTGGCAACTGCTTGTCCACATTTCTGAAAGATTAAATAAAGCTTGTCCCTGCATCTGTTAGATTAAATACTGCTTGTCCCTGCAACTACAAGATCAAATTCTGTTTGTCCCTGCTTCTGTAAGATTAAATAAAGCTTGTCCCTGCTTCTGTAAGATTGGCAACTGCTTGTCCACGTTTCTGGAAGATTAAATAAAGCTTGTCCCTGCTTCTGTAAGATTGGCTACTGCTTGTCCCTGCTTCTGTAAGATTAAATAAAGCTTGTTCCTGCATCTGTAAGATTGGAAACTGCTTGTCCCTGCTTCTGTAATATTAAATACTGCCTTTCCCTGCATCTGTAAGATTAAATAAAGCTTGTCCCTGCTTCTGTAGTATTTGGCTACTGCTTGTCCCTGCATCTGTAAGATGAAATAAAGCTTGTCCCTGCTTCTGTAAGATTAAATAAAGCTTGTTCCTGCATCTGTTAGACTGACTAATGCTTGTCCCTGCTTCTGTAAGCCTGGCTACTGCTTGTTCCTGCTTCTGAAAGATTAAATAAAGCTTGTCCTGCATCTTTAAGATTGGCAACTGCTTGTCCCTGCAGCATGCTTCTTTGCATCTGTAAGATTAAACAAAGTTTGGCCCTGCATCTGTAAGATGAAATAAATGTATATGCATTAATATATATACTGCCAAACCTCATAATCTCGAACTCATAGGGACCATGAAAAAAAATTCAAAATATCTTAGCATTCCAAATACTTGTATTCAGGGTAAAATACTTAAAGAATAGGGGTAAGGACTTAAATCGAATCACTTCAACTTATCCATAATATTCAAGATATCAATGTTCGAGATACCAAAGTTCAACTGCATATTTAAATTTTTTTTTTTTTTTTGGTTTTTGTATTTTTTTTTTTTTTTTTTTTTTTTTTTTTTTTTTTTTTTGTTTTTTTTTTTTTTTTTTTTTTGTATTTTTGTATTTTTTTTTTTTGTATTTTTGTATTTTTTTTTTTTGTTTTTGTATTTTCCCCATATAAGATGAACCCCAACAGCATGATGCTATATATACACACCTAAACATCAATGAGTTGGTGCCCATCTCAAAGGGCCTCGCTCTACCTAAAGGACATCAGGATGAGAGGGCATTGTAAAGGACCTTGACATTTGACTTGCACTTTCAATCCTAAGTCACCTTGGGAGATGTATGAGATGAAGCTCAAGGGAACACAAAATAATGACCATGATTTCACACAG